CAGAGGCCAGGCAGGGCTGCAGGTAAATCGCTTCTGGGAAAAGAAAGCATGTGAGAGTCAGCACCGGGGGCCCATGTCATAGACTTATTCTCTTAACCTCGTGTTCCCACCATCCTTGTCTGTCTGTTCCCTCACATATCAATCTCCCTTCCACAAAGCGGGCTCTTCAGAGTTTGCTTTTCCGCCATCTGTGTTCCTGTAGCAAGAATGTCTCTTCCTTTCAGTACACGGGGTTCTGAGGTGTCTTTCTTCCAGTCCTACCGAAGGAGAACTTGATGTAACAGAGAAGAATCAGAAGAGCCAGCCACAGCTCACCCCGCTTCTTCCAAGGTTGAGTGAGAGTCCTTGGGGGAGGGAGACTGCACCCACGTGGCTGCTTGCCCTCTGCTGAGGGTGGAGGCAGATGGACATTCCTGCCTCCTGCCCCTCCCCCCAGGGCTCCCCGACTAGAGGCTCCAGGGGAACCCCACCACCACAAGATGCTTTCTGCAACCCCAGTGTGTATGTTCTCGTGACCTCCCTGATCCCCGTGCTGGAAAAAGAACACCATCCAAGAGCGGTGAGTTGACCTTTTGCAATGTCTTGAGATTAATGGATTTTGTTCCCCCCGGGGGAAGTCTGACCTAGGTTTGCTGCCCATCTGTCCTAAGAGGGCCGTCTGTCCACATCCACAGGGAAACCCCAGGGCTGTCCAAGGGCCAAAAGAAAGGCAGAGCCATGCCAAGAGCTGTGTTTAGGAGCCCAGCCCTCTCTGGAGGTGGTCCTCCTGCTGTCACTGAGCTTCTCTTCACAGAGACGGGAGGAGGCTTCTGAAGGTCAAGAGCAACTGGGGAGCCATTCAGGTGAGGGCAGCTGTGCGTCCTGGGTCCACTCTGACCACATGGAAGAGACTGGCTAATGGAGCCTGTTCCTGAGTGGGTCTGAAGGACAGAGCAGAGAGGTCGAGGCGGGGAGGCCGTTTAGTCGGGCTGCCTTCTCTCCTCTGCTGGGGTGGCAGAATAATGACCCCTCCCCAGCCACACCAAGATGTCCCTGTTCTAGTTCCTGGAACTGGCGACCATGTCACCTTTACATGGCAGAAGGGACTTGGCAGAGGCATTGAAGTTAAGGACCTCGAGATGGGAAGAGCATGCCGGATTCTCCACGTAGACCTGTCATCATCACAGAGGTCCTCGTGAGAGGGAGGCAGGAGGGCCAGGGTCAGGGAGGGAGATATGATGAGGTCGCAGTGAAGTGGCCACAAGCCGAGCTGCTAGGAGCTGGAGCAGGTGAGGAATGAATTCTCTAAAACCTGCAGCGGGCACACAGCTCTGTGGACACTGGATTTTAGCCCCATAAATCCCATCTCAGATTTTTTTACTTCCAGAAGAATAAAGCTGTGTTATTTTAAGTCTCTGTTTTGGTCATTTGTCATAAGAGAGACAACAACAACAAAAACCCCACACTGTTCCAGGTAGAGAAGAATGGGAGATGCCACAAATTGATGTTTGCAAGTCTGTTATGTGTACTGCAGACACCAGTGTCCTCCGGAGGAGAGTTGGTTCAGACATGGAACCCTATGATCTCCAGTCAGCAAGGATGGCATTAATGGAACTATGCCCAGGCACAAAACAGGGCAAGGGAACTGGGTTTCCCAAGGCTGCATTTATTAATGTGCTCCATGGGTTCTTACCCAAGGTGTACTCTAGGATGCAGGTCAGTTTGGACCTTGGTAGGTCACAGTAATACCTGGACATGTCTCAGGCCAAGAAGGAAGCCCTCATCTCCACCAGGAGCCAAGCATGACTCTGCTCAGGCCCAAGTGGGCCTTCAGCACCGTCCTGGGAACAGCCACTGAAACTGCTGCCTGTCTTCTGCGTCTTTCCCAGACCTGCCCAGAAAAAAGGGAAAACTGGTAACCAGTGAAAGGACAGCCCCTCAGGGTATCCTCTGCCCTGTGCAACTCAGAGGGAACAAGGTTGGTGGATAGCCACTCCTCTGTCCTCTGGGTAGCCTGGACAGATGTCTCAAGAACCTCTGGAGGTTCCCTGGGTTCAAGAACTGAAAAGGCAAATGTTCAGATCCTGTGTCCGTTATTAATGGACAGTGAGTTGTATGCCACCTCTCAGCTGATTACAGTTCTATTTAGCATCCTGGTATGGCAGTCCTTCTTAATCCAAGGGGGATTTGTTTCAAGACCCCCAATGGTAGCCTGAAACTGCAGATAGGACCAAATTCTGATAACTGTTTTTCCAATGTGCCCTGCAGCATTGGCACATAGTATGAATTCATCTGTCTCTCTGTGTTATGCCCTGGTACCTCCTTTGCATCACTACTCTTTTGTTTTGGGGACATTATTAAGTGAAATAAGGGTTAATTAAACGTAAGCATTGCAATATGGCAACTGTTGATCTGATAACCAAGATGGCTACCAAGTGCCTAACGGGCGGGTAGCATATACAGAGTTTAAACTCTGGGCAAAGGGCTGATTCACATCCTGGAGAGATGGAGTGGGTAGCACACAATTTCATCATGCTACTCAGAAAGGCGTATAATTTAAAATTTTTATATTGTTTATTTCTGGAGTTTTTCATTTACTATTTTTGGACTGCAGCTGACTACTGGTAACTGAAACTACAGAAAAAACAAAACTGAGGTTAAAGAGAAACTACCGTATATGCAATTTCCCCACTTCCTGTTCTTTATCTCAGATTTACCTGAGCACCCACAGTGCTTGAAAAGTTTCTGTGGTGCTGTGTGCCTTCAGTAGGTAGCCCTGCAGGTGCATTCCCCACCTCTAACTCCACCCTCTGTGTGCCCTTGGTGTGTCCCACTTTTGCTCACCAGCCCCAGTCTGGGCCAAGTCTCTCTCATGACTCCATATCTTGACGTCTGAAAGAGTTATAATTTTTTTTTATAGTTTTCCAAGAGGACATGGGAATAAACCAACCACTGATCAGAACAGAGGCCCAGAGCTGGATTTCTTTGCAAAACATGGTCCAACGGCCTGGGAGGGCACCAGCCTGTTTATATAAAAACAGTCTGTTTGCTACACTCCAGGGCAGGAGCTAATTCCCAGGTTAACTGGACACCTGCCCCATGCCAGCCTGTGCTGGGGGCCTGAGGAACAGCAGGGCAGATACCAGTCCTACTCTCACTGAGCAGTAAAGAATAGTGACACAAATGACTTGAGAAGAGGAAGATCTGGGTGCAGAGGGGATTTAATTTCACTGGGGGACGAGGGGGTCAGGGAGTTTCCGGGGTACAGCCTGTGGTTCCCTCTTTTCATGGCATATTGCTTATTGCTTATTCTTGCCTCCCACAGAGGGCAGGAGCTAGCACTGCATCCGAGACAAATCTTGTTGGGTAAAGACAGATTCAGGAGGAAGGTGAAATCCAGGGGTGACAGGTATTCCAGAGTCCCTACAGGGCAGGAAGGGCTTGTCCCAGGCACCTGCTGCCACCTCCCTGGCCTGACACCTCCAGGTTCATTTCTCACTCCTGAGTGACAGGCTCCAAAGCACCTGGCCCAGACCTCTCGGCTCTCCGTTCCCCCCAGTGCCTCCTGGCTGGGTTGGCACTCCAGTTTTGTCCTGGCCTTTTATGGCTGAGCTGCTTACGTTTCATCTAAAAATATCTGAGCAGCCGCAGGATTGAACCTCCCCAGGAATGACCTAAAACCTGTGTAATGAGGACCCAGTTGCTTCATTGCCATTTGAGGGGGGGGGGAGTGCGCTGGGACAAGGGAGGGAGCCACCTCCTCTTCAGGGACAGAGCTTTTGTTTTCAGCTTGTCCCCGTCTCAGCCAGGGAAGGGCACATGGTGTGGCTAGGTTTTCCCTGGGGGATCCTGCCCTTGAGTGCCCACATCTTCACAGCAAAGCCCTGGTGAGGGAGGGAGCTGTGAACCTTGTTAACCCCTGTGTTAGACAGGAATGAGCAGGGCCAGAGGGAAGTCAGGGGATTGGGGACCTAGGGACAATCCCAGGTCACCTTACCACTCCCCAGGTTTTGGGAAATAAGGTAAACTAGACAGCTGGAAATATCTGCAAGTGTGTTGAAGCACCAGTGAGGGGCAGGATACCCTGCTGGATCTGCTCACCACAGTGGACCATGACCTTGGGCAGCTCACCTCGGCTCCTTGCAGCTCTCCTCTCCCTCCTAAAGCAGTGCTGGTCTCAGTGCTAACTCGGGTGGCTTCATAGCCCCTGTGAGGTGGGCATGCAGTGCATGGTACAATCTATGGATGAGTAAACAGGGGCACGGAGGGGCTAGGAAACCCCACGGTCCTGCCACAGCTCTGGGGAAGCAGGCTCTCCTGTCCCCTGCTGATGAGACCTCTCTGAAAGCTTTTATGTGTTAGGCCTTAATGTTGCACAGACACCTTGGAATTCATCCTAAGGAATAAAGTTATGGAAAATAAGTTGCTCTTCGCAGCACTGGTGGGAGGAGAAGAAGTTAATAAATCCTGGAGTACTGCGCAAAGGAAACCTATTCAGGCTGAAAACTGCTGTTTGATAAGTATCTATGGAGAAAAAAAATAACCCTGAGTACACCATATCATTAAATGAAGATAGCATGTTTTAAATAGTACACAGCTTATAATCTTTTTTTTTTAAATTTCAACTACACCCCTATAGAAAGGTATACTTTGATGCAGTGCAGCATCCCAGGGAGACCTGGCCTGGGGACTTGGCAGAATTCAGCCCTCTGCTGTACACCGTGAGGAGGTTTTGCAGCCTGGTGTTGTGTATACAAAGAGGATATTCCTGGCCATCTGGGGGGACTGAGGCTGTGGGTGTTTGAGAGGGTGGGTTCTCAATTCTTCTCTCTTCCTAGTGGGACACATGCTTGGTTCCTCCCATTCCGTCCCAGCCTCTTACACTTTCAAGTTCACCATCCTGACACCTCCAACATCGATTTGTGTGTTTACATCTGTGTCCATCACGTCCACTGCTGGGATCTAACATCTAGGTTAGATGGTGCAGGTCACCATCTGTCATCCCCAGGTCATCGAGGAATGATGGGCCTCTTGTGTCGTTGGCCTGTCTGTGGCCAAAGAGGCCCAGAGTGCTGGGCAGGGGTTGGAGCACGTGGACATCTATTCTTTCTGAGGGGTACTACAGAGAGTCTTCTTCTAACTTATCAGTATATCATAATTTTTCCATGGTGAACAAGTATTTTTTTCTTTTCTGAAAAAAGAAAAAAAATGTTTATTTTTAATTTAAGAAATGAGGTCCTTCGATCAGATGATTCCTTCTCTCTCGAATTCTATGATCTCAATCAGGCCCTTAAAGGTTATTTTTTTTCCCTGGTTTCCTTTCTCTCCTTGGCTTTGAGAAAGAACTATTTTTTTCCCAACATGTTCCTGGTGGAGACACTGCGTTCCCTGAGGTCTGGGGGTGGGGGTGCAGCCTACAGCCAGAGCTTGGCAGAGTCTGTGGTGCATCTGGGCAGATGGGTGGGTGTGCGGGCCCCCTGTAGTACTGGGCCTGGGCAGGGAGGCGTGCAGGCGAGCAGAGGAGCTCCGCAGAGGAAGCAAACAAATTCTTCCCCTTCTTACTATACTCCTCCCTAAAAAGAAGAAAATACTAAAACGGCCCACAAAAACCAATGGCCAGCATCCCCAGGGAAGTTGACAGAGCAGGAGGAGGGGATTAGTGACTGTTTAATCTCCTTGGGCCTCACCCCTCATTCCAGTCCCTGCTTCTTAGCATAGAAAGAGGGGGTGATTGCTGGCAGGGAGGGGCTGATCTAGGTGCAGGTGCTCTGGAACCCAGGGGGACACGAGGGCCAACACACTCTCAGGTAGTGGAGAGCATCATTTTCTGCTGGTGGAATCTCAGGGGCTTTAGAACAAGGTTCTTTGCTCTGAGTTCTGAGCAGCTTGGATAAATGCTATTTTGAGGTAACTAGAGGGCAGTTTAGGACCCTTCTTCAACTGTTTGGATACTTTTTTGGGATTAACAAGAAGTCAACTGCATGGAATCCCTTCAGTGGAGAACTCGGTCCTCATCAGCCTGCCCTGTCCTTCTCCCAGCTGTGAGGCTGACCATGCTGGGGTTCCATGCCCCTGGGGACAGGCTGTGCTCTGCAGCCCGCCTTCCCCTGCAGCAGTCCTGCAGCCCAGCAGCTGCTCTTGCAAGGTGACTCCCTCCAGGCTGTGAAAACAGTTGACACAGGGCTGTGGCCGCAGCTCTGCCTCCAAGGTGCTCTCTCCCCCAGGAAACAAGGTGGGACTGCTTTCCTGGGATTGCGCCTGGGCTTCAATGGTGAGAGGATTCTTTGCCTACTGGGGTTAGTTTTGGAAGGGGTTTCATCCTGATTTTGGAGCCCCTCCTTTTCTATTTATCTTTATAAACATGAATTCACCCTGAAGACCTGTGATAACCCTGGTGTGCAGGTGCTGGGCAAGACGGGATTCTGTGGGGATGGGGTAGAGGGGAATCCTAGCTAGAGATGGAGGATGTCCAGGAAGCCTAGAGTCCCAGGGGGTCAGGAACTGTCCATAGCAGCCACCTGAAGGAATCGTGACTGTGCTCCTGTGTTTTGGAAGTGTTTACCTGTTCAGGTTTTGCTCTCTATTTTGGTGGGCCCCTAAGGGTGCATGTTCCAAGATGGGAGGCAGGTGTTAAAGAGTAGACGTGGTAGGAAGAGAACACTTGGCCTTAGGTGCAAGCCAGCCCCTTCTCTCTGGTTCTCTTTGTCATTATTGTTGACAATCACCCTTGCTTGTGTGACCTCTGGGGTGGCCAGGATAGTAGCACCACCTCCCACTGGCCACCCATATGTGCTTCCTTGCTCCTAAACCCCACCCGTGCCTGGAGAACATCTATGAAAACATTGCAGTTCTAGCTTCATTAGTGTTCCACAATGCTACAGTGGTCCCTAATGCACAGCACCTTTGAGGGAAGAGGCAGTGTCTAACTCCTGGGTGGGCTGTCCCTCCACCTCACCTCAGCCAGGTGTCAGTGACATGGCAGGCTGCAGGGGCTCATGCATTTTTGCCATTCCCTCTCACATTTAAATCAGAAGCCAGTTTTACACACTTGCCTCTTATAGCAGGGGGAGGGTGCTTCCTCATTGGCTGGAGAGGAGAAACCCACTGAGATTCTGATCAGCTGGCTCAGAGATTTAAATAGGCCAGGCCAGACCCACTATCAGGCTAGAATCACCTGAGAAAATACAAGAAGGTGTGGACTAGGCTCCACTTCCACTTCCTCCTAAGACACTGCTGTAGCAATGAGGAACAGGAACGTATTTTATTTATTTATTTTATTTTATTTCCTTTGGGGTGCTGGGGGTTGAACCTAGGGCCTTATGCGTGCAAGGCAGGCCCTCCATCAACTGAGCTATATCTGTATTTTATTTTTTAATTGCTGTACTGGAGATTGAACCCAGGGCCTTGCACATGCCAGGCCAGAAGTCCTACCACTGAACTACCTTCTCAGCCTGGGAACGTTTGCTTTAAGATACGTATAACTGGGGGTCTGAGCAAGTGATACTTGATCTGCTGAGGCAGCTTCAGAGAGTAGTCTTCTGAGTTGAAGTTTAACCACTTTTGTCAGTTGGAGGGGGCACAGTGGGAGGACCATGCACCACCTCCTTGGACTCTTGTTCCTCCCCTTTCTGGACTCCTCCAGGCCCAGAGGCTGCTCACTGTGCGACTACCTCAGTACCCTGAGAGAAGACTGGAACAGCATTGGCCATGTGTCTCCCCAGGACAGCATAACTAAGGCAAGATGTGTTTTTATATAAACAATTTAAATGAGGCCTGGTTTACATTTGTTTAAGATCAGGAGTGGCTTCAACAAAGCACCTGGCACTCAGGTGCTGGACTTTGATAACAGCTCTTAAGTTACACCAGTGTATCTCTTAGGCACTGCAGAGAAAGTTGAAACAAAACCAGCAAACAGATTTTGACCCATCTTTGTAAGTTTTGGTGTTCAGGTGAAATAAATATGATTAGTCCCACAATAAGAGGAAAACCCAGATGGGTGTGGGTCCTTGGTGGGGTTTGAGATGTTCACATCCGGGAACCACCAGCCAACAGAGACCCCAACAAAGAGATTTTTTTGGGGGGGCACCTGCCTGGAAGGCCGGTGTCCATCTGACAGGTGACAGCACCACCTAGCAAGTACGGGCTTCCTAGGCCAGGCCAGAACCACCATCGGCCTCACTCCTTCCTTGTCTGCAGGAGGAAGACAGGGCTTTTTGAAGTGCTGGGTGTGGCTGAGGCTGAACCAGCAGGACCAGGAACAGGGTCCTTGGAGAGCCCAGTCACCCTACTTCCTGGCTATTCCATACCAGGGGCCAACTGGTCACTTGATTTTACATCAGTTTTCTTCTCCACAAAATGGACATTATCAGTTTTTTTAAAAGATATTTTTTAGTTGTCAATGGAACTTTATTTTACTTATTTATATGTGGTGCTGAGAATCAAACCCAGGGCCTCACACATGCTAGTCAAGCACTTTACCACTGAGCCACAACCCAGCCCCGACGTTATCAGTTCTGAGGAGGCTTTCCCTGGCTGCATTTGCCCTGAAGTCTGTTCTCATTTTTAAAGTTTATTAAAATAGTAAGAGCAGTCTTACATGAAAGGTAAAGACCATGTGGCCACATCCACGGTGGATGGTGGCTCACCTGTGTCTCCAGCCTGTGGCTCTCCTTGAGGTCTAGAGTCAGAAGCAGAAGCTCACCCACCCTGAGGGACAAGAACCCACAAGGGTTGTAGGGTTATGCAGTCATATGTAACAATAATGATGAGACCACAATTGCAGGCAGGTATTCACAGACATTTATTTTAAACCATGGAGGCAACTCTGCATGAGAGTCTTAACGTTGGTAATGGCTACATGTACATATTAGAGGTTAGAGGGCGGCACAGTGGGGAAATGAGCAGAGTGAACACACTCACAATGCTCAGCAGCAATGAATGGAGGGCTGGATGCAGGCATCTCAACATCACAGGACCTTCTTGCTCAGACCACTTCATCAGGAGGTCAATGTCAGGACTGATTGGGTTGGTTGGGGGAATCCGTGGCATGCAGCACGGGAGGTTGGCCAGAACCACCCTGGAGAGAGCTGGTCCAGCTTCAGGCTTATGACATCCTCAGCCTGACCCCTCGAAGAATCTCATTCCAGAAAAAGGAAAAAGAAACCATAAAGTAACATGCCTGCTGCAGCCAGGTCCAGATGTGGGCCACAGCCTGATGGCCAGGCAGCACGGAAAAGCAACCCTGGTTATGAACACAGTGGTGGGCAGGCACTGATGTGGGGCTAGCTAGCACCTTCCCTGTTGTCCAGTTAGGAACAGTTTTTATGCTTTCTATATAAAGATTTTCTTTTGCAATTTGACAGTACCTTGAAAAACAAACTCATTTAAAAAGCAAGGCAAATGGCATATAAGACATGAGTATTTGAGAACAATGGCTAACAGCGACACAAGTGTTTTGGTCCATTCTTCATATTGGTGTATGCTATTGACAGACAGCTGACCTTCATTTAAATGATTGCAAAATATATATGAGAAATGCTTTTTTTTTAAAACAGGATTCCTCTTTTTTGAGTTATAGCTCCTTCTCATGCATCCTAGAGAACCAAGGGAATTTTTAAAAAATCATAAATATCAAGGACAATTTCCAAATCTAACTTTTGAACCAACTGGAAATTCTTAGACACTTCTCCCAAGGAAGTCAGATACTCTGGACTCAATAAAGGTGAATATTTTGAGGTATTTATTTTTAATGAGATGGTACCATGATTAATTTCCACCGTCACCATTTTTTTTTTCTAAAACCAAACCTATCAGGCTCTAGACAGAAAAATTCAGAAAGTAATGCATTTGATGTGACAGAAACCAAAAAAGGTATGGTGATATGCTCTCATGTGTCTGAGTGACATCAGCCATGTGACTAGTAACGGTTTAGGTTAGTCTAGTAATAAAGAACATTCACAGAATCATGAAATCACAAGATTAGAAGGGACCTTAAGAAGGACTATCAAATTCATATTTCACTCAAAGTTTTAATCTCCTTTTCAACATCTCTGACAAGGGCTATCTACTGTTAAAAACTCCCTTGAATCAGAAAATATAAGGGAGGGACTCTACTCCAATTGTCGCAGATTTAATTTTTAGATACTGCTACCAGGTTAGACCTAAAGAAGCTTCTTGGTGGAAAGGCTAATGTGCAGGTAGAACTGTCAACTAAAACCACTGAGGGTTTGATATGTGGTTCCTGGTTGTAAAGCTGAGCTAAAGTTTAAACGTAAACATAGATGTTCCAGAATTCAGTTATGGACATATGATACTTGAGTCTTAAAAAAAGGGCAAAAAATGTAATAGCAAGAAATAGCTGTTCCAAGCCCTGCCTTGCAGAGAGGGTCCCCTAGATGGCGGCTGCTGAGTGAGTTCCTTCCACTCCAAGTTGAGAAAGATCTTTCTATTTCACTTGGCAGGTGCCCCCTGACGAGGCCCTTCCGCCTCTACCACATTGTACTAAAATGACCTGTGACTTTTGAGAGTGGTCTGAGGCTGAAGACAGGGAGAGTAGCAACTGCCTGTTCATGCCCTGTGACACTTAGTGCTGTGCCACAGTAGGGCAGGTCCAGACTTTCTCTTCTGTAAAGCAGAGCAGCTGAGTGCAGCCCACTTATGGATGAATCTGGATTCTTCCAGGCAAGGGCTGCACATGTAATGGTCCTGTTCCACCTCACAGCCTCCAGTGAAAGCCAGTGCATCTGGAAAGATCCCAAACTTGGTTACCACAGGTCATTTTCAGATACCAATTCTGGGATTTCCAAGGAAAAAGAAATTGATACTAGCACTGACTACAGGGTGAGCTCTGAGCACACCTATCATGGAAACTGTGTTTGCCCTCCCTCTGAGGCTCTGAAACATCAGCGTCTAAGAGCCGCATGGGCTCAGGCTCCAGGCCTGCAGCTGAGTCACCGCAAGTTCCCTGGCAATGCCAAGCCCCTTGCAGTCCTTGGGCACATCAGGTGGAGAGCAGATTTAGGACTTGGTTGCTCTGTTTCTGCTGCCTGGATTTCTTCCTCTACTTGTCTTACTCCTTATCATGTGACACTCAGCACAGAATTCCCTTCCTCTGCCAAGTTCTTCCTGCCCTGCCTGCTCAGTTAGAGGCACCCCCTGGGGCGGCACCCCAAACACACCTCTGTCATTACACTAATCACATAGTGCTGAAACGACCCATTTACTCATCTGTGTGGCTTTTGCCAAACCAGGGAGAGGCTCAGAGGCCTGGTGACCCCTCAATGAAAGTGGCATGATGTGGACTAGAATCTCAAGGATCATCTAGATAATTCAATGTTGGAAATGGATTTGTGTTTTCTAATCAAGTTGCTAAACATTTACTTTCACACCAGGTAAAATTCAACCTAACATTATTTATTTTTAAACATATTTTTATAACTTTAGTTTTTCTTTATTAATTTTTTATGTGGTGCTGAGGATAGAATCCAGTGCCTCATCCGTGCTAGGCAAGTGCTCTACCACTGAGCTTCAGCCCCAGCCCCTCAACCTAACATTATTTTTAAAAGAGAAAAATAACATTTTGGCAAAATGAATTTCTTCCATTTTAAAATAAAAATCTTACTGAACAAGCTCACTGACATGCAATTAAACTACCATGAAAAGGCAAAACCAAAGAAATCTTACTTAATGAATATTTATGTCCACTAACAGTGACATATAGTTTAGAGCTATTCTGGTACTTTTTAAAAGCCGAAAATCAAGCTTTAAGGTTTGATGTTAAACAAAAATAATTATGCTTTTAGAAATGAGACTCAGAAGATGAAAAAGTGATGTTGCACAAGAAGGACAAATGCAGCAGACCCCGGGGACCCGAGACCAGCCCTCAACAATGAGGGCACTGTGTATTTTCAGGGCCCTGGATTTTTAAGTTGATCCTGCCCCTGAGGTGGTCAAGGGGGACAGTGTGGAGATGAACATATGTGGGTGAAGGACTGCAGTAACTGCCTGCTGATCCAGGACTCACCCACTCATTACCACAGAGCAGGTCCAAAAGTATGTCAAACACGCTTACAACCGAGAGGAACAAACCTGGTTCCAGAGAGTTCCGAGTCTCAGGGTGCTGACACTGCTTCTCTCACTCATATCACTCCTAAGTAGTTTTCAAAAACAATTGTTCCTTTAATATTCTCTTGGTTTTTCTTGTTTACATGCCAGTTATAGCTAATTGCTTAATATGACTAAAGTGTTTTCAGCTTGGAACATTCTAGATCTCGAGATCCCTTCTAGAGCTAAGCATGATGGCACACACCTGTAATCCCAAGGACTCCAGGGGCTTATTTATGTAGGAGGATCACAAGTTTGAGGCCAGCCTCAGCAACTTAGAGAGATCTTGTCTCAAAATAAAAAATAAAAGAGCTGTGGTGTTGTTCAGTGGAAAAGTGCCCCTGGGTTCAATCCCCAGTACCAAAAAACAAAGATCCCTTTCAGTTTTGTGATTTTATGATTCTCTGAATACTTCAAACAATTCAATGAGAAACATATTATGGTTGATTGACCTCATATAAAATGACACAAGTGCTCAATCTAAAACCATCTTTGCTACTATGGACACACACCAGGCAGCTGAAGGCTCTAGTAACATCATTCCTTTACAGGAACCAAGAGCATGAGATGGGTTTTATTCTACCAAATAGGGGACAACTCTGTGTATGATATGTACAGTTTTGCCACTTTCCCAACATAGCCATGTTAGGAATTATTTGCTAGAGCTGCTGTAGTTTAAGTAATAGAGCAAAAATGAATGTAAAGTGCAAATCCAATAGGGTTTCTCAGACACAGGAGAAAAGCCAAGTGCTGGAGCCGCTTTCACTCCTAATGAATGGAGCCTCCTTTTCCACAAATTGCATGGAAGACACCAAACACCAGCACGTATTTCTCTACAAGTTGCAAAAAATGGTGAAGATACTTAATACAAAACTCAAGAATTCACAGTATCACAAACTCATGCACCCAAATGGCCAAATACTTCTCACCAAATCCACCTCCCACATAGATGAAAGGAAAGGAGAGGGCAGAACAAGGGCTATCTTGACTTATCTAGTTTCTGATCATGATTCTCATCACCAGTGAGGTTTCAATGTGTGAGTGGCTTTGTGGGTTGGGCCTGGGCAATGCTGGGAGGGAAGTGGCTGAAGCAAAGCTCAGGGACACAGAACAGAGTAGCCGAGTGTATGTGTGTCACTTAATGGGCCCATTCGGCGTCCCAAAGGAGGTCTGAACTCATATGTACCTAACTGGGAATCCATGAACTGTCCTGAACCCCAGCCTCCCTGATCCTAGGTTACCCTCTCTGTATGCAGTCCTTACTCTGAAGTTCAGGAAGGGAAAACGAAGCGATTCATTTCCATTACTTCCAACATGCAGTTCTCTATTAGGTACAGCGAGGAAGTGGCTGCAGGTTCTAGTAATAAACTACAAAATAGATATTTGAATATTTTAAATGTAATTCCCTTTTGAAAGCTCTCTCACAGAGCATTCATGCAGTAATAGCAACTTTAGTGCAAGCAAGTGCAAGGAAAGGGGCAGTGAAGCCACAAGAGGTGTGACTTGTGAGTGCAGGCATGTGCGGGAATACAGCCTTGGAGTTCCAGACTCCGGTGACAGTGTCATCAGTGGCTGTGTGAGACACACACACTGGCCAGCAGAATCATCTGCAGGAAGCCCCATTTCCAGCAAGCAGACTTGGTGGATACCAGGGGTACTGTCCAAGTATGGCCTGTGGCATGTCCCCCAGTTAGGAAGGTAATGAATGATCATGAGGGGAAAACTGTTTTCGAACCTAAAAAAGAAAAACAACAGGGAGGATTTCAGTTTCACTCAACTCCTACCTACCATCCCCAAACTGAAATCAGAACTGAAAAAGACACTGGAGGTAGGACACAGATAGGGAAGGGCAAACAGTTGGCCTGTTTTAAGACTTTATTTAGACTGGTGATTCTCAAGAGACTGTGATCCCCCTGTATGTGTGCCAGGTAAGGATCCGAGGAGGTGGTAAAGTGCTTAGAGTGAGACAGGTACCTGGCATATCCTCGCCACTAAATCTAATTGTATTTTTATGAGTGAAAGTAAGATTTTAAAATAGGAATTCAATATCCTTAGGTGCATCACTTATTACATTTTATCAAGCTTGCTAGGATTCCCTTAGAAGTAAGACTTCTTCAGGTTTCTAAAGTCCTCTTTTAAGTTCCCAGCAGGAACACAGCACAAACTGTAGGATTTCAGTACCTTTGTGTCTCAGGTCACACAGGGTCTTAAAATAAAAGTGTGCAAAATGTTCTGATGAATTACTTTAAGATAAAGATGTCTGAATGACTGGTTTTTAAAGGGGAAGACAATACAGATAGTGAAGAATAGAGCAGGATGACAATCTTGAAATAATAAAGGTTCAAGTTCAGAGATGATGTCACATCGAAAAATAGCCTAAAGACACTTATTTAGGTTTAGGTTTCAGTTGGTTTTGAATGTTGTGAGGGAGGGCTATCCAAAAAAACTAAAACCCAGAAGGCTCAGGAGGCCCCAACTGAATGGTAACTGATCCAGGCACTGATGGTTGAAGCTCTGAGTCCTATCATCTACTTCTGGATGACGATGGTCGGGAGCAGCTTCCTCACAGCATTTTTTAAGAAAACTAAGGCAGAAACGCAAGGGCACTCCTACTCGGCAGGAACATGAATAGGTCAGACCAGACAGACGGCTCATTCCTCAGGGGACTCAAGAAGTTGGCTGGCGGATCCACACAAACGGTTTTCCTCTCCACAGAGGAGGACACGAAAGTCGGAACACGGGGAGTGAAGAGTCTAAATACAATTTCTCTGGAGAAAAGCAGCGAAGGTGCAAACAGAAGAAGACAGAAAAGGAGAAAAGATGGTGACCACACGACACATGCCGAGGTGAGGAAAATGTGGAAACTACTTTATAATGACCAATGCACCCTGAACAGGGAGATGATTCCCTTATTTCTCCAACACACAAAGCAACAAGTAAAATGGAGGGTTGGAAAATATAAAAACTAAACACCCCACACAGATTTTTCAGTATACTCAAAACAATGTAGCACAGCCAGACTGTATAAACCATTTGTTAAAAAAATATCTTCTTTTATGAACAAGTTGGACTGAGTGTCCTTCTGCTAGTTCTCACTGACTGTGTAGGGAGGATGCAGATTCACCTCGGGTCTTCAGCTTCTCTTACTTCTTGCACGTAGCTTTAGTGCTTCAGTAGCCATGTGGATCAGAACAACCTTTTCTTTAGTAAATACTACATCTTTCTGATTCCTGGGAGAGTCATCAAGACACTACTGGGGTCATATCCCACAACTGGGAAAAGAAAAAGTAGAAAATGAATTAAATCAAATTGGGTTGAGGATGAACAGTCCTTATAATTGAAGCCAAGAGAGTATTTTTTCATTTAACAAGATTCTACACCTGTAATCCCAGTGGCTTGGGAGGCTGAGGCAGGAGGATCACAAGTTCAAAGCCAGCCTCAGCAACAGTGAGTCTAAGCACCTCAGTGAGACTCTGTCTCTAAATAAAATACAAAATAGGGCTGAGGATGTGGCTCAGTGGTTGAGTTCAATCCCTGGTACCAAAAAAAAAAAAAAAAAAACATAAAGAGAAGAATCTACATACTCTACTAGTATGATTTATAAAGCTCAAAACCATGACAAGGGCAGCTTGAAATTCTGACCCAGGTGTGGAGAATAAAGGCAGATCAGAGCCAGTTAAGTGTGATGGGAACAAATTACACATCAAGCCTGGGCTGTGTTCTTTCCATATGTCTTTGCCAATCTTCCAAAGAAGTCTATAAGATTCAAAAATAAAGGAATCGAGGCTCCCAGAGTTTGCTTTAAACTTGTTCCAAGTCACAAAGGGGGCTTCAATCAGGATAGTTTAACTACATCATCTCACTGCTGCCCTTAAGAATAGGATAGAAATGACACAAAGGCCCCCTTCTGTTTGTGCCTCTGCTGTGACACTGAATCCATGTGGTCTACTGCAGTCCTCAGAGAGGCCCTGGATGAATGTGCCTGGATTAATTGATTTCACTGGGAAAAGATGTGATTACCTGCTGGCTTATTCCTGTCTTGCCTTTCAGTGCTCTGTGCACTCCCACCTGCTCCAGGAAGCCTGCTCCAGCAGCTCTGCCTCCCGGATGGAACTTTATTTTTGGTACTGGGGATTGAACTTGGGGGCACTCAACCATTGAGCCACATCCCCACCCCTTTTTGTGTATTTTATTTAGAGACAGGGTCTCACTGAGTTGCTTAGGCTGGCTTTGAACTCATGATCCTCCTGCCTCAGCCACCTGAGCAGCTGAGATTATAGGTATGTGCCACCGTGCCCGGCTGATGGAACTTGTCTGTGTGAATCTTCTGACTGCTGTATGTGTGACCTACTATTTGTCTTTTAAAGAGTATGTCCCAAGTAGTTTATCTGTTCCATGCACATCCATAAATGTACTAGTCTCTCAAAAATGCTCAGTGCCAAGGATAACCTTGCGAGCCCAGCCTCACGTGTTCTGGGCTCCTGTGTATTCGCATAAGGCCTCAAATGGAAAGCTTAAGATGGTGTCTTACCTTAATGACTTTGTCGGTTCCAGAAGTCAGTAACCATCCCCTGGTTGCATCAAAATGCACATGCACAATATTATGTTTACTGTCATGGAAGGTAGCTGTGGGTGCACGTCTAGAAAGACCAAGGAGAGGATAAAAGGTGGGATCTAGGAATTACAGAGATCAAGGTGACATTGTGCTCTAATTTTTAGACTAATGGCTAAAACTGCTTCACTATTAGAATCACTTCCCAGATCTGCCTTTATTCTCTGGTGATCTCTTATAAGATTTTAACAAGATAATAAGGCAAAATGATCCCTATTCTCCAAAATGAGAGATGAAACCTCCACACATGTTGCTCTGATGATCTGAAAATCTCTACCTGCACCTTTTGAGAAATCTTTTAACAACCACAGTGCTTTTTGCTAAGTTTGCACTCAGAAGGAAGGGCTTGCAGGCTAAGTGGTCCATTTAAAAAAAAAGGCCTAATTGTTAAAATACCTAAGATACTACTCTCATTCTATTTGAAGTCCATCAATTTCTCTTTCTTTGTTCACTGGTGTAACTGCTGACTTAAGTTTTTCTCTTTCTAAACCTTTAACAGGTGAAACAAAGTAGAAACAAACATCATTATTTATTTTGTGTTTTTTTTTTCTTTTCTCTCTCTCTCTTTTTTTTTTTTTTGGTATTGGGGATTGAACCCCTGGGTGCTTATGAGCTACACCTCTAGTCTCCCCTTTTTTTCTAATTTATTTTTTATTTTGAGACAGGGTCTCCCTAAGTTGCTGAGGCCAGTCTCAAACTTGCAATCCTCCTGCCTCAGTCTCCAGTGAGTGCCACCATGCCCAGCTGTTTTGTATTTTTAGTCTATGCTTTTTTTGTTGTTTTGAAGGAAGGCTTATCAAGTATCCCTAGAGTGCTCTAGGGGTAGGGCAAGTGAGGAAGAAGCCACAGTGATTCCCTAGGAAGGGTCAGGGAGGGGAAAATAGAGGGTCGCTCTCCAGTCATGTTTTAAGGGGTGCCACTCTGCTACAGTGGGCTCCTGAAGACAGTTTTCTTCTTCTTTGTTTTGTCTATGTCTATAAAAAGAATTACAATGCACCACCTGAAGTCTCTTGCAGCACTCTATTCAATAAGAACTCTTACTGGGGCTGAGAATGTAGCTCAGTTGGTAGTGTTTGTCTCCCATGCACAAGGTCCTGGGTTCAATCCCCAGCAGCCCCCTGCCACACACATACAACCATGACGAGTGGAAAATAACCAACGAGTATAAATGCTTACTTACAAAAGGGCATCTTAATTTTTGTTTGATATAAGTATACAAAGAATACTTCAAGTAATTTTATTGCACTAAATAAAAGGTGCTGGGAGGACTGGGAAGAAAAGTCTCCTAGGAGATTGGTCCTCCAGTAAATTACCAACAGGGAAACCTGTTCCAGATCATTCTGTTTGCATCTGGGGACAATTTTCAATTAGCTAACATGAAAGAGACAATGCAGATTTGCCTCACCTTCCAAAGCACACCTGAGACCCTAGGATACTGGGCAGGAGTGAGAGGCAGCCAGCTGAGTAGTAAGCAACTGGGAGTATTTGCCTTTTAGGTAAAGCAGTTTAGCTCTTCCTAGAAATTGAAACCTTCTAGAGCCCTAAGCTGATTCAAATCCTATAAAGACGACAGCTCAGGCTATAAAGCAAGCCCTGGGCCACCGAACCCCTCGGCAATTCTCAAGTAAATGAGCAGGCAGAAGGATTTGTGTGGAGAGCATCTACTTTAAATGCACATTTCCCTGAGATTAAGAAGTGTACACAGATGAATTCTTCAAGCCTGTTCTCTCTTCATTTATCTCTCAAGATAACACAAGTCTCTTGAGGGAGGAGGGAGGGAAAAGGAGGGTCCTGGGGAATGAGATTGATCAAGTTGGGTCGTGTTCATGTATGAATATGACACGATGAATCACACTATTACAATTATAATGTGCCAGTAAAAGATAAAAATCTCTTTGCCATGGTCTACACTCTAAACTGGCAGGAACAAGGGCCTCAGGAGTCATGGCTGGAGTGCTGAGTGCTGCTCTCAGACAGGATTCTTTCCTCCACCTAGAGAGTCCTGCAGACCCCTGGAACTTACTCTTCATCGGTGATGGCTTCATGGCAGCTGTCACAGACTCTCACTTCAAACTCGAAGCCCATCAGAGGGATGGAGGAGCGCTTGGAGCTGCACTTGCCGCAGACAGCTTTCCCGCATTTTCGGCAATGATGCTGCAGGAGGGACAGAAAACAGGCGGCTGTGACTCGGTGCCACTCTCCTGGCATACTCACATGTGAGGGACCACACTCAGGTGAAGATGCCAAGCAAGAGTGCCCCAGAACCCTAACAGGAGCACACTAGGTGTCTTCTCTTTTCAGGCTGTGTTCTGAAAGAGCACCGCTGGGAAACACCCCAGACAGTGCCACCTCCCCTCTCCTCCTTTCCCCGTACTCTACCCTGTGCTAGTACCACTGCTGTGAGCCACAGAGGCCAGGGCCTCTGGGGTTGGGTGCCATCTCCTGAGATCATGCCTGGATGAAGGGAGGATGTGGATGAGAACTGATTCAACCTATTGTCTGTAACTCTGGCCACAGTCAACCTAGGTGACCTAACATTTGATTTCTCTGGGGAAGACCAAATTGAACTACGTAATTATGAGCGGATCTAAATAACTAAAACCACATCAGGAGGAGGGAAAGCAAAATAATTAAGAAGAAATAAATACCACTTGTCTAAATTAATGGTTTGGAACCAATGTGAGCTAAGCATGATACCTCTGATTTTAAGATGTATTTCAATAGATGCCACTAGAATTCTAAAACTGTACCCCTCGACTACTTTCTAGATGAAATCACTACACAAAACAGAATCCAGTTGGAATGAACTACAGTAGAGAAGGCAGGTACATTAATGTGAAGTCACAAGGCAATTCCAGAATAATAATTTACCTCTACCACACTCCCACCCAGGGTGCTACTTCTTCTTACAAGGTTAAGTTATTTCCATACAACTGTATTTTGATGAAGAATCCAAATCACCTTACCTGTCTTAGGCCAATTTTCTTACTGTCCCACATTTGTTTGAAGTTCCAGAAGAAAGGCTGATCACACTTTTGGCAAGAATCACTGTCCAGCCACTCAGGTGTCTTGTCAAATAAAGCACACAACAGGTCACAGTGAGAAATGGTGTGGACAATGCAACCAGTGACACTGATGAAACTTTTGGAATCAGGATGTGTTTATCAAAAACAGAGGGTGATTTCTCAACCATTCAAAAAGTACTTACTGGAATACCTCTTACGTGTCAGGCCCTGGGGACAGGATGGGAGGTTGTGGCAAATAAAACAATCTCTACCGTCTTGGAGCTTATGATTTCCCGAGAAGAGTGGTCATGAAATATCATTACTAATAAATATTCAATAACTCTAAGAGTAAGGGCCTGAGGAGAAGCAGATCACCATGGTGGAGGTGTGACAGGGGGTTCAGACCCAGGCTGAGGTCCTCTGACAAACGCTAGAAAGCTGAGACCCAAGGCTGGGTGGGAGGAGGCTGGGAAAAGGGACCGGGACATGTCAGGATGCTGGAGGGCAGATGGGGGAACAAGGGATGAGAGCCAGGGCTCAGTCCAGGCCATATCACACAGGCACTTGGCAGCCATGCTGAAGATTTAGGACTAAATTTCCTGTTCTCTGAATGGATGCAGTTACATTTACTCCAATCACATACAATGATGTCTAACTGAACTTCACACATACACATGGTCCCCCACGTCAGATGACACAGAACCTGACTCATACTCAGGGAAGTTACTTGTCCACTGTCTACTTGTGGCAGGGCACAGTGGGGTTTCAGGCTCTGCTCCTTGGCTCACAGGTCACACGATATCCTAGCTTTGTTCACTATTTCTCATTCCTGTCATAACTTTTCTAAATTATGCCAGACAGGTTCTAAAAGTGAGTTTCACTTAAAGCTATTCTCTTGGGCTGGGGATGTGGCTCAAGTGGTAGCACGCTCGCCTGGCATACGTACGGCCCGGGTTCGATCCTCAGCACCACATACAAATAAAGATGTTGTGTCCGCTGAAATCTAATAAATAAATATTTAAAAAATTCTCTTTCTGTCTCTCTCACACTCTCTTAAAAAAATAAAAAAGAAATAAAGCTATTCTTTAGCAATCTTTATAGATTATGCAAATGGTAACTACATTTGCTTCCAGAGTTCATGTCCAACTCTCCAGATTTTATTACTTGGCAGAGGAAATCATCTCTTTCCATATAGCACAGAACCCAAAGAACCTTGAAAATATATCCAACCCAAGATTTCCCAACAGTGAATTCCAGGAACATCCTACTCTCCGGACACTCACTTTTTATAAAAGAGGCCTTAGAGTAAACAAGTTTGAGAAATGTCATAAACAGCAGCCCACTCCTCTAGACATTCACAGTAGACAGGAGCATGGTCAAGCTCTGAAGTCCATTCAGGGTCAATGTGACCCTTTTCTGAGGAATATCTGCTACGGATCAGATGTTAGGATTTAGCTTCTTCTACTTTTCAGGCAGAAATAAACCTAAAACTATAGTTTTCCCTCCCAGTGGCTCAGGAGGCTGAGGCAGGAGGATCAATAGTTCAAAGCCAGCCTCAGCAACTTAGCAAGGCCTTAAGCAACTTAGTGAGACCCTGTCTCTAAATAAAATACAAAAAAGGTTGTGGATGTAGCTTAGAGGTTAAGCACCCCAGGATTCATACCCCAGTACAAAACAAAACAAACAAACAAAAAAATCCAACAACCTAGTTTGCCCCAAAATAAAGAGGACATTTTAAAGTACTTTACTTTTGTTCTTTATTTTATTAAACCAAAGAAAAAGAGTAAACCTTGATTTGATTTGTAATTTTCATGACCAAGTCCATTTAAAAACAGATTTAATACAATAACACAAAGTTTTAGCTAAAGGCAACTTACCCCTAAAAGACTGATTATGTGATTTTTTTTTTCAGAACATATGATGCAGAAGAATCAGGAAAATTTTAAAAAAAGAAGAAGCAAAGACTTATTTGTGACACAAAACGAGCAATGCTTATAGTATATAATCAGACTTGGGTTAAACAGGAACTTCTAGGGCCCTGAAAAAACTGAATTAGCAACTCATTTCACATAGTAAAAAACACACTAACATGCTTCTTAGAGAATTGAGGGGGCAGCACTAATATCTGTTTATGGAACATTCTCAAATATCACTTTCTTACCACTAAGAATTATGTAGTAGAAACAAATATTTAAAGACAGGGAAAATGTCCAATATATAATGAACTGAAACCCCCCAGGTATTAAGTACTATATATATACCAAAGTTAACAGAATAAAAGAAGATATTTATGAAGTTTGTAACTAACAAAGAATTCCTTCTAATATCTATGATATACAAAGAACCCCTGCAAATCAATAAGAAATGACAAGGAACAGCTGAAAAGCTGGCAGAAGATGCAAGAGATACAACCATGCAATTCATAGCCAGGGTGGTCTGAATAGCTAAAATATACAAAGAGGAAATCAAATTTACTATTAGGCAGAGATGCAAATAAAAACAAGACATTCATTTATCCCTGTCTCCAATAGGGCAAAACCAGAAATGTGGTAACAATAACTATTGGTGAGGATGTAGAGTATCAGGGAGAGATTCCTCACACTGTTCTTCTCTCCACTAGAAACATATGTGGGTACAGTTGTTTGGTTGTTATTTAGCAAAAATCAAGAATACACCTGGATTGATCCCACACAGGTCGGTGAAGAACATGTATCAGAAGTCATCTGGTGCTGTGTGTAGTACCAGAGAGTTTGTATCTATCTATGTGCCCTTTGGGGAACAGAGAGGTAAAATTTGACTGATATATGAGAACCTACACAGAGGCACCTCAAGGTACACAGAGCTCCAAAAAAGTTTGGGTGGAATAGTTGGAAACAGCAGACTTCTAGTGTAGTTATCGTTTATGTAAACTTGAACACATACACAAAAATGGATACTTATTTGGGACATATCAAATGTGGGTGCCTAAGAGGAAGGAAGTGGAGTAATGATCTGGAAAGGGGAAAAATAAATCAACATGTATATTAGCATTCTAATTTTTGTTAAAAAAATTTTGTACACATGTACATACAGAGAACAATGTAAGGAAATATAGTGTTTTGCCATTTATAGGTAGTGGAATTATAAGTACTTGACTTGGCTTCTACTTGTTAATAAGCATCTTAACTTTCCTATGTATAACATGTAGTATATATAAAACATACTTTTCAAATGATAAATGTAGCAATTAGGGAAATGTAAATCAAAACTACAGTGAGATTTCATCCCACTACAGTCAGAATGGCAATTATCAAGAATACAAATAAAGGGCTGCAGTTGTGGCTCAGCAGTAGAGCGCTCACCTCACACGTGTGAGATCCTGGGTTTGATCCTCAGTACCATTTAAAAATAAACAAATAAAATAAAAGTACTGTGTCCAACCAGCACAAAAAAATAAATATTAAAACAAAATAATACAGATAATACGAAGTGTTGGGAGGATGTGGGGGGAAAGGCACGTTCACTCATAACTTGTTTGGGACTGCAAATTAGTACAAACACTCTGGAAAGCAGTATGGAGATTTCTCAGAAAACTAGGAATTGAACCACCATATGACCCAACTATTCCATTCCTTGGTATATATCCATAAAATCAGCATACTATGGTAATGCAGTCATCTCAATATTTATAGCAGTGCAATTCACAACAGTCAAGTTATGGAATCAGCTCAGGTACCCATCAACAGATGAGTGGATAAAGAAAATGTCACACACACACACACACACACACACAATGGGGCACTACTCAGCTAGAAAGAATGAAATTATGGCATTTGCTGATAAATGGATGAAACTAGAGAACATCATGCTAAGTGAAATAAGCCAGATCCAGAAAGTCAAAGGTCAAATATTTTCTCTGTTATGCAGAAGCTAGTTCAAAATAAGGGGTGGGGGGAAGAAGGGAGAGGGAGGGTAGGAGGGAAAGGGAGAGGGAGAGGGAGGGTGGGAGGGAAGGGGAGAGAGAGAAAACAGGAGAGGGGAGGGGAGGGGAGACGGGAGGAGAGGAAAGGTAAGGTGTAGGGGGAAGATCTATGGAGTAGAAGAAGGGGACTGAGGATGAGGAAGGAGGAACAGGATAAAGGAAGAACAGTGTGAGGAATCTGGCCTAACTTTCCAACATACATATATGAATATACCACAGTGAATCTCACCATCAAGTATATCCAAGAAACACTAAGTGAAAAAAACCAAAAACAAATTATAAGTAAATAGCAGAAAGATCAGTAGAGGGAAGGGAATAGGGAGAGGGAGAAGAAAGGCAAAGTGGGGTGGGTACTGGAGCCTGAATTAGAGCAAATTATATTCCATGCTTTTATGTCAAAATGAATCCAAATGTTATGTGTAAAAAATAAAATGATGAACGTTTACAAAAAAGGATTTGTTAACTGTATAGAAAAACACAGGTTTAACATATGAAATGCTGACCAACGCTGACCTGATCTGCATCCGGCCACTCAAGGTCCTCCATCATCTGCCCCTAGCCATTCTCTCATCTCTGACTGCTGCCCACCTGCTCATGAGCACTAACGCACCACACACCTCTTCTCACATCACCTTTTCCTTACTCTGGACTATTTTTTTAGCCTGAAAAGCCCATGAAACTCCTGGTTAGAACACGGCCAGTCCTACTAATATTTTAGCATCATGTCCTTCTGTAAATCCTTCCCTGATAACCTTGGCCAATGACATTAATGTTCCTTCTGAATACCCAGCACTGATGTTCTTCCTACATTGACTATAATTTCATTATTTATACAATTTAATAGCATTCTGAAGTTTTCTGAAAATCTGTCGGCACCTCGGGTTAGGGACTGCTTCATCATAATGTTAGGCCTCCCAAGGCGAGCCCCTCACAGTCTTTTCCATAGCCAGCAGGCAGCTCCCCAGATAATGAATTACAAACACTATCTCTGGAGATTTAGGTTTATGAAATATGACACTTGAAAAAGATGGATGGAACCATTTCCACTGCTTATTTAGAACTTCAACTTACTCAACAAGATTTTAAATCCATCAACAAGTATCCAGTGCTCATATATCTGCATGTCAAGAGGCATAACTTAAGCCAGATGGTTCAAAGAATTGCCTGTCAACTACCTGGTTTCACCTCTGGAAATGACCTTTGGGTCTCTATTTATAAAGGATAGAGGCTACCTGCACTGAGAGAAAAGAACCTACCATTCTCCCTTCCCCTGGTTTGGTCAGTTAGGCCTGGAAAGAAGCCAGGCCAGATGAGGCATGACATCTTTCACCTAAGGCAAACTATCATGCACAACCCAAGTTGGGACGCACACAGAGGAGCCTGGTTAGCACGACCAGCACTCATGGTAACAATTCCCTGGCTTTTTATGGATAGTGCCAAGTGCTTTTCAAAAGCAATATTCTACAATTCCCCACTTCCTAACAGTAATGATCATTTTAATTAGTTACTAATAGAACTCCTGTGGATTTATGGTTTGAGCAAATAAAGCTTTAATCTTCTTAAGCATTTAATTACTAGCATTTGAAGGGCATTACATTGTGGGTAACAGAAAATTCCCTCTTGAAACAAGACTGGGGTAAGGGCATGGAAAGAATTTGGAAAACTGCTTTTGTCTTTTTAAAGTGTTTCTTTTCTACCTAATTCTTACATCCTGCCAGAAATAAGTTCAAAGACTGCACTATCGAAGGGAAAGTCTACGTAGAGTCATTCTAGGGTACTAGGAAGATGGTTAACTTCAAAGTATTTGTCAAAGGGGATTCAGTAAACATACTAGTTAAGATGCTCAAAGATTAAAAGCAAAACTCATTTAAGAAAAGAGTACTGATAAAATTTAAATATGTGCTTAAAAAAGACAAAGTATATGTAACTGGGGAATTGTTTAGAACATGACTCAAAAACAAGCACCAAATAAATTATTTCTAGCATTTCTCTTAATACCAAATTAAAGGTCCTTACTTCTTAACCACTGTTTCCTTCAATGACTGAAAGCACATGAGCTCTCGGTGTCCTTGGGACACTTTATGTTGGGACTAATCACCAAAAATTAGGCGGTTCTTTTTCTCACCTGTATTTTTGCTGTGAATGGTGTAACAGATTTAAAGTCTAAACAGCTTAGTCTCAGTGAAAACTCTCATGAAATCTCTAATCATATTAATGTAACATGCCAGTTCGTAAGGAGCAGGGGAAAAAAAAGAGCTCCTTTAACACCATAATTTAAAATTCTCTAACATGTCTTATTACATGGTTTAATTATAAAGTATCAAGAAATAAGGAGGGAAGTAGAGCTTAACCTCAGGGCTAAACCCAGCCTACTGGGACACCTACCTCCTGCCTCTCCACATCCATGTTCCAGACGACTATGCCACCGTCACCACCACATGAGATGAGCTGTCGTGTGTGCTGTGCATAGGAGAGAGCCTGGACTTTGTCACTGTGAAAAAAACCAAGAGTTGGTCACAGTTTAGGAGAGCAAATGATGGATCTAATGACTGAAACCCCAGTAAAATGAGCCAATGTGTGTCCACACTCCCAAGCCCCACGTGTAGACCTTAGAAACCTGGTGGAATTTTCAACGTGCTGTCAGTGAGAAGCATATCCAATATATAAAATAAGTCTAAATGCTGCTTTCACCTGCTCAGGTTCCAGAAGGAGGTAGTTACTGTCAGTTACCAACACTTAAAGGAAAAAGCTGATCAAAGACGAATGGATGTAACAGCTTACTGGTTCCTCTCCTCTTTATTAACATCCACATGTTCATTTTATGATTTTACTTTTGAAAAATTTACCCTTTACGAACTTTGGAGATCAGCCTAGAGATATCCACAGGCTTTAGCTGACCGAGTTGGGTAGCTGCACAGCCACTCTTTTTGGCTCCCAGAATAAATCCAAAGCAGTAATAGACTTGAATTTCATTGACTCTGTCTCTAGGTTTTATTCGTTTTGTTTTATTTTTCCTTCTCATTTGTGCATGGCTGACAAGTTATTCCCCCTCAGCGGTAAAAATGGAGGAGATTTCAGTTTTATGGCTTGATAATCTGGTGATTGCTAGCAATGGATTAAAGAGATCTATCCTCTGTTGGATGAAAGAGAGAACAGGTTTATCTGGTCTTGGACATTTTGTTTGTCTGTTTGTCTATTGCTTTCCTTTCCTTTTTTTTTTTTTTTTTTGGTGCCAGGGGTTGAACTCAGGAGTATTTAACCAGTGAGCCACATCCCCAGCCCTTTTTATGTTTTATTCTGAGACAGGGTCTCACTAGTTGCTTAGGGCCTTGCTAACTTGCTGAGGCTGACTTTGAACTTATGCTCCTCCTTCCTCAGCCTCCCAAGTCACCGGGATTACAGGCACGTGCCACCATGTCTGGCTTGTTTTGTCTATTCTGAGCTCAAATCAATTAAGAAATGTGTGTTCCTTGGAAAGGAGAACAGTTCTTTAACATCCGGACTGCTGATATAAAGATAATGCTATATCACATGGTTGTGTGTCCATGAGCTTTGCTAGGCTGCACAATTGTCAACCACCTATTCCCACTCTCCTCCCAATTTTTTTGTATGAAATAGAAGTGAGTTGTTTTGGTAATTTTTATAATTGGAATAAGTGATCAAGATTATGGTGGATGCAATAGTGAAAAAGAAATAGAAGTGTGAATGTATCCTTTTTTTTTGAGACAAGGTCTCACTATATTACCCAGGCTAGCTTTGAGTTTAGCATCCCCCTGAATCATCATACCTTGTATGAATAATTTTGTCTTAAATCAGTGGTTCTCAAATTTTTTGGTATGAGGATCCCCTTTAGACTCTTGGAACTTATTTCAGGACATCAAAGAGCTTCAATAAATGATAACTACCAAAATTTACTGTATTTTAAATAAAAACTGAGCAATTTAAAGATACTGATTCATTTGAAAATTGCATTAATGAATCCATTCCTTTTAACTTTACATGTATTTTGTGAAAAACACTTTGAGAAAAAATTTTTTGCTGAGAAAAATGTCATTTTAATGTTTTTGCAAATATTTCTAATGTCTGGCTTAATGGAGAGAGATGGATGTTCACATTTTTGTGCATTTATAATGATATCACTCATCATGTAGCCTATGAAAAACTCTGCTGTATACTTTTGAGAGAATAGGATGCTCAAAGGCAATCCTAAAGTGTCAATCTGTTCCAGAATATGAAAGGGAAACATGGAGAAAACAACTTGGAAAGAGAATTTTATTTGCTTTGGTTTATAATATCTGAATCTGAAAAAAAGGCTAGAAAAAGCATTTCTCTTGGTTTTGATGACTTGGTTAACTGATTAATGCCTTTGACTATAATGAAAAGGCAAATTCTTTACCTTTTGTGGAATCTGCCTAGCTCGAAGAGATTCTGTGTCTCATCAGAATTATTTCTAGTGCTTTATGTTGACAGATTAACATCCTTGATAATTTTTAGAAGGGAAAGGGAAGACAAAGGACGCTTACATGTGAAAAGGGCTCAATTAAAAAAAATGTGCTACTTTCAATGTCAATTTTAAAATATTTTATTGATCTTCAATTGTGCTATTGTTCTAACCAAGTATTTAAGAGTCCTCTGACTAATCTTTGGCTTTGTTTTTTTAGTCTGAAACCTCTATTTTGAAGAAATAAAGTATTTAGGGTATGCTGTATGCCTAAAATTCTTTATGAGACAGAGAGATCCTGGACAACCATGAAGATTTGTTCTTTCACCTTATTAAAAAAAAAAAAAGAGAGATGCTATATGTAATTGTATTTGATGTGTCACTATTTTAAGAGTTGGAGGTGGGAGTGTAGCCCAGTGGTATCCACCTTTCTGGCACACACCAGGCCCTGGACTCTATCTCTAGCACCACAGAAACAGAATACATGGAAGGAGTTTTCAGTCCTTCCTAGGTTAAGTCAGTATTAGTAAAATATTATTAATGTAAATATTTCAGAAATTTTATGTTTGTGGGAAGATCCTGGAGATTTGCTAATGCCCTCATTGTCTCTAATATGGTTTTTATCCTACAGGTACATACTGCTCAAAATTCTTGGGAAATAGTTACATATGATATTCTAGTACAAAATTTTATTCTTTCCCATTCTGAAATAAATGGTCACAGTGACATATTAACCATCAAGTCACTAATCTACAGATAACTTTTGTATTACTGTGATACTTGCATGAGATTCTGACGTAAGCATGGACCAGAGTTTGTGGCAAAGACAACCTCTTTTCATGGAAAAGGACAGAATGTACCAGGTATTTTAACATATCAACATTTCAAATAATACTCTTGGGCACATACCACTGAGCTGACATTGCTTAGACAATTTTTAAGCTATGCCAATGAACTGAGTCAGGGTTTCTGGACTTTTGTTTGGATGCAGATGACTTCATCAATGCTAAGCCAAGAACCAGCAGAATAAGAATTAATTACAGTTCACTCACAGGACTGAAGGAACAGATGAGGGAAATTTTATTGTGAATATTTGTCTGGAATACTATTGATATTGTTTTAATGTTCTATTAACTGGATATATGAGGATGTCTTTTTTCCTCTTATTTTCTTTTTGGGGGGCGAGGTCGGGTACCAGGGATTGAACTCAGGGGCATTCAACCACCAAGCCACATCTCCAGTCCTATTTTGTATTTTATTTACAGACAGGGTCTCACTAAGTTGCTTAGTGCCTCACTTTTGCTGGGGCTGGCTTTGAACTCTTGATCCTCCTGCCTCAGCCTTGTGAGCTGCTGGGATTACAGGCATGTACCACCATGTCCAGCTGTTACTTTCTTAAAAAATATTTTTAGTTGTAGTTGGACACAATACCTTTATTTAATTTATTTTTATGTGGTAATAAGGATCAAACCCAGTGCCTCACACGTGCTGGGCAAACACTCTACCACTGAGCCACAACCCCAATCCCAACCCCTCTCTTAGTTTTTAAGTCATCTCTAACCTCAATTTAGTAAACTCTTTTTTATAGTTGAAATCAAAATATTTAAAAAACGTTATCTAATTCTCATCAATTAGCCAGAATTCAAAATTGTTACTGAGTCTCCTTAATTCTCATGGCACTATAGTTACCTGCATAGGTCTACTGAGAATCTAGCCACAAGATAAAAATGGGCAAACTAATTATACGACAAAACCCTTTGCTGGAGTGTCATATTTTAGAATGACGGTCACTGAATCAGAGATGACCCTCCATTTCAGGAACTCATGGAGCTAAGGCCTACAAAGCCCTCCTAGGAAAACAGGCATGGTAACGTGGTTGGCTGGTCCTGGCTGTCTAGGCAGTAAGGAAGGTGCCAGACCGGGAGCTCAGCAAATATGGGAAACTTTCAGGAATTCTACCAAAACATTAAGAACCATAGGTGAAATACAGTGGAAGATTTTTCAAGGCTTGATTTCCTAGCCTTGGGCGAGCAAATAACAGAGGATCTGAAAAGTTCAGTTCTTGATCCCTTGTAACAAAGTCCAGGAGAAAGCTAATTTTGCAGGCATTAACAGCTGTGGAATACCATGTGGATATGCAAAGCAAGCCCAATAAAGCCTATATGGTTGATTAACACTGCACCAATGTAAATAATCAGACCAAATCTATGAAGCCAGCCTCTTTGTGTGTGTGTGATCAAAACTAACCTTTGCAATTATTATGATCACAGGGCAGGAGGAAGAAATGACTGTTAAGAGACAGTGAAAGACTTGAAATGGGTCAAAAGACATCATTAGGTAACTTTCCAATGGAATATTAGGTGTTTAGCACACCTTTCTGGGTTATCTGATTCTATAAGGGTTTCAGTACTTTTAACTGGGTTATTTTATAATTCTGTGTTATAGAAAACTGACATTACTGCAAATAAATCTTATCCAGTGAAGACACTATTATCCCTGGGCCCAGCCCACTCATGGACGAAGCCAGCTGGGCATCTACTTACAAATGCATCCTAGCATGCACTACTGCCTGTGTATGTGTCTCTCTTTGGATATTTACCTTTGGGCTAGCTGTGACATCTTATGGGTTCTCTTATTAATTAACTGCTACTATAAAATCTTTGATATGCATTCATTTTTTCTAAAAGTCAGTCATTTTCTCACTCTTTCCTGGCTATTATTTCACACTTTTAAAAGTATGGAGTGCCACCCTTCTGACATTGAAAGGGCAAGAAGGAAAATCTACCTAGTTAACAGGCTCGTAACTGTGATTTGAACTGCATTTTATTTGCTAAGGCACCCTCACACACATCAGCGATCTTGTCAAACCAAAATACTCTGCAGAAGGAACTGCTTTGCCACACATAGCTGGCAGCAACATTCAGCAACAAATACATAATTTATGGGACTCTGGGATTGTTAATATTCCAACACAGAAGTGTGGAACACAGTGATGAATACTGGATTCCAAGCTTTATAATAAAGCTACTCAGGGTTGTCATGATGTATGA